TAGTGATTTTCATCTGAGCCTTTTTGAAACTCACCTAGAATGCATCTTCGAGCTTTTTTTATCTTTGATCTTGTAATTAGCCCATTTGAAACTTTTAAGAAATCCTTTGATGTAATTTGAATCACATCATTCCTTTCATTCTTAAAAGAAATTAACTTTAAATTATCATCTACATCAAATAAAAAAGAGGTAAAAAATAATAATTAAAAGTAACACTAACATCATACTCACATGATAAATCTATTTTGTAGACATTATCATTAATTCTTTCAAGAATTTGGAATAGACCATCTCCTCTCAATATCAAATTAGATCTTCTATATTCAAGAAACCTCTTATTTAGTATATGCACCCTAACTCAATCACCTAGTTCAAAAAGAACTCCTTTTCTTGCACTTATTAACATTAAACATATATTGCTCATACTTTTTATGTATTTTTTGTTATACATTCTTACGGAGAGCCTTTACTATTTGTGATTTTCTATTGTTATTAGGACTAACCTTTTTATCAATATGTTAAGGAATCAAATCTAAAATAAAGTCAAAAATAATTTTAAAAGGTGAATAATTAGTAGTAATTCGCACACTCCTATTATATGTGACTTTAACGAAGGGTAGGCAATCTTTTCAATTCTTCAAAAATTTTTGAATGATAGTTCTTAACAATATAGTTAAAATCACATTAACTACTTTAATTCGACTAGCTGTTCGTGGATGATAAGTGGTAGAAAATAACAATTTTGTTCCTAACTTATCCTACAAAACCTTCCGAAAATAGCTAATAAATTTAACATCATAATAAAAAACAATGCTTTTAGAAACCCCATGAAGTCAGACTATATCCCTAAAAAATAAGCTCATTATATTAGTTGCACAATTAATTTTATGATAATATATAAAATGTGATGTGTCATCTTAAAAAACCTATCTATAACCATAAAAATAGAATACCTATTGCTATATACATATATATATATATATATATATATCAATTCAAGGTTGTATAGGTACTAGTAAAAAGGTATACAAATCACGAGATAGAACTTTAATTTTAGCTTATTTATCACAAACACGCACATTCCTTTTTATCCTAGGCCAATAAAAATACTCTTACAAAACATCTAAAATCTTAGAAACTTCAAAGTGTCTCATTAAATTGTTTTCATGAGCTTAACGAACAAACAAATCATTTATATAGCAATTAGATGCATAAAATTTTTTTTTAAGCAAATAGCCATTAAACCTTTAAAATTTTTTTAAGCAAATAGCCATTAAACCTTTAAAATTTATCAAACATTGAATTCCCATATACTTTATATACTTGGCTAAAATGAACATAATAAATCTTTCACATACTTAAATCCTAATAATTTAGCATTTAAAGTTAAAAAAAGAACATATCTTCACGATAGTGCATCAGTCATTATATTTTTTACTTTTTTTTTTGTTAATAGCACAACAAAACATTCGCATGATCTTTTACTAAACATAAATAGAAAATAATAATATAAGAAAATAAATAAAAATATCAAGTTGCAAAACTCCTTATTCAAGGCCTGACATTAACTTTGATAAATGACTCTCAATAAATAATAAATAACTTATGAATATATTCATAAAATAATTTTGATAATTAATATCATGCATAAAATTAATTTAAGAGAAAAGATAGAGAAAATATTTTTTTTTGAAAATAATGCGATGAGGGTGATGTCTAGATTATAATATTTTTTTAATAATATTAGTAAACTCTCTTTTTATACACCCCTTCATTATTATCATTTTTTCTTATAAAATTTAATCAAATTAATTAGGTTTAAATAATTTAAATTATATTTAAAATAGTGTTTCTTTATATATCATTCAATTTGAAATTTCTTTCAAATGACATTCATTTTTTTTTTAATGTTAGGGATATTTTTGCCAAATGTTATATATAAGCCTATTATGTAGAATTTTTTTTATGCTTAGGGACATAGATATTCTATGAAAATAAAGTACAAGTCATACTCTCTTTTTTTTTTAATTGTTGCCACTTTTTTTATTCAATAAACTATACTTTTTTATAAAAATATTTTTTTTGTGAAAACAACAAAAAAATAAGTATATAAATCAAAAAATAAGGTTTTGAAGGGAAAAAAATACATCTTTCCTCTATAATTTTATTTATTATTTTTGTTGTGGATATCATTTTTTACTATCATTGATTGAAAAATAGATTATGAAAAGTTCCAAGTGACAACATACAAACAATATGTTATTCTTTTCTTTCTAATATATATGCATGAAAAATGTCAAAACATGATTTTTTTATTAAAAAATTGCTTTTATTTTTCTTATAAGGTGTTATTTAAAAACAATTATTCTAGTAAAAAAATTCCAACAAAAAGGAGTACATTAATAATATTAATTGTCGTGGGGCGATGTTGAATGACATGTTAAATGCCTCATGAGAGGCGTATGTTAGGAAAGGAAAGAATTTTAGGTATAATCATAAAATTATGATTATAAGATTCAAGAGTTACCACCTAGTATTATAGTTACTAAGAAACCTATGGTCCATAAGAGTTCAGGTAAGGGGCTGATTGTGTAAGGAAAATACGCATCACCCCTAGTGCACCTTACCTAATATGAGTTGCATTATTGTTTGATTGCTTTCATAGGTCAAGTTTCTATTCACTGGTTTTTTCCAAGTTTCAAGGCAAATCTTCATTTATGAGGAAGTCTTTACCTTATCGGACTAAATCCTAACAATTCTAAAATCTAAATTTTAGCATAACATTTATTTTGCACTTTGTATCTTTAACATCTGAGGATGTACTTTACTATGTAATATTACACTCCTAAATATTAAAGTCTAGTCCAAACCCTAATACAGACAAAATGTTTGGTAAAGGGTTTTTGATATTTTAGCAAAATCCTAATAGATAATCATAAATTAGTTATAATATCTATTTTTTGTATTTTTTACATGTAGTAAAAGTAGGAGAGGAGGAGGCTACTTGTGCTAGGAAGTGTTGCCGATGGTCTAGCTAATCATGATTGGAGGTTAACATGAGATTGGTGAAGGAGTTGACAGCTATCATTGGTTGCTAGAGCAAAAGAGAACCACGATTGAGAAGAAGAATAAGAGGTTGGTAGTGGTTGATTTTGTTGTTGAACCATGATGATACTGAAGGAGGAGCTATCGATCATAAAGTTGCTAGGGGTGGAGCTAATCTATTGGTGGTTGTCTTTGGTAGATACAAAAGGTGATGGTAGTGGTGAAGAGAGGAAAATAAGATGTTAGGAATAAAAAAACAGGGGTTGAGGCTGGTTTTTGTTCAACTTTGGCCTTTAATTTTTTTCTCCCTCAGATCATGAAATCTACCTTTATTTATAAGGGTGGAAGAGTTATTGCATAAAAAGAATGGTCAGGTGTCACAGTTGTCATAGTGTTAATTGACCAAAAAGGATCACACTGATATGTAGTCAAATGTTAGACCATTATTTGCATGCAAGTTTTGTCAAATTTAATGAAGAGATAAAGTACTAAATGCTTTTGAAAAAGGTCACTCAAACAACTTTTTCAGGAAAAATGTAAAAAAAGATAAACAGTTACTAGATGTCTCATTATCTAATCTTTTTTTTATTATTCAAAACAATGCCATTTTGGTTTTAATTTATAAATGTGGTCAATGTTCAATTTGGTCTTTCATTTTTTAATTTTTTTCAGTTGCACCTATAATTTATGTTAAACTTTTAATTTTGTACAATTTTGCCCCGTCAAACTTCAATGTCATCCCCGGATTTCAACGCTTTTTTCATCTTGTTTCTTGATCTTAGATTTATGCAATTTGATCCTTAATTAACCATTAAACTTTTAAATTTTTTTAATTTCACCCCTGATTTCAATCAATCGAGTCCTTATAGTTTAGTATTTTTTACAAAATGATTATTGGTTGTGAATTTGTTCAATTTAACTCTTAATTAACCCTAAAACTTTGATTTTTTTGAAATTATATCCTTAATTTGAATCAATTGACTTGATAAAAATTAAATTTAATCTCTTATATTTTCAATTTTCTTAATCATTCAATTGATCTATTTTATTAAACACCCTATCAACTTTGTAGTTCACAATTAAAAAAAAATTATGCTAAAAAATATATTAAAAATATTCATATTTTTTTATGTTAGAGAAAACTTTCAGTCCATCTCGGAAAATGAGCACCCTAACTAATATTATATAAACTTTAATGTTTATATAATATAAATTTAATATTAAATTATAAGTTACAATATAGTTTATTTTTGCTGCCTATTATTGTTTTCAATTTATCATTTTTCTTTGTTTTTATGGATAAAAGTTGAAACCACCTCTAATATCTTTGATAGATAAAAAAAATACATTTAAGAGAAATTTTGAACAATTTTTTTTCCGTAAATCAAACTCGAATAACTAACATGATTAAGAGAAATTTTGAACAATTTTTTTCCCGTAAATCAAACTCGAATAACTAACATGTGCCATCTGGATGAAATCCTTTTCCAAAGCATAGGGATAGGGACCCTGCTAATGGTGTCTTTGAACCATTTAACTATCGAGAAAAAAATATTCCTATTCTATTAGTTGATAGCATTTTGATAATTAATTTTTTCTATTATCATCAATTCTAAAGGAAAAAAACACATTAACAATTACTAATATTTTCTATTATCATCAATTCTAAAGATTAATTTTTATTAGCCTCTCACTAGTTATGATAATTAATTAATTAATTATTATTATTAATATCTTGGAAAAAAAAGTAATAAAATATGATATCTTAGACGAGCATTACTTTAATATTAATATAACATAAACAAGGAAATATAAAAAACATTAATGTTTTCTTGAAATTTAAAATAAAGAACGAAGGTATAATTAAAAAAAAAAAAAGGACACCCAGTGAAAGAAACTACATTTTAAATATGGAACTGAAACCACATAATTATTAAAAGAATAAGGACATCCTATTATAACTTTTCAGTGAACTCCCTAATAAATTGATCTATATTTGCATCAGAAGAGCCACCATCTGCAACTGCTTTCTTCGCAGCCTCCTTCAACTCCAAAGCCCTTCTCTGTATCTTAGCTGCTTCCGGTCCATTAGTGACCTCCATAATGCACCTTTCTATCTCTTCTGAGCTTGCAACTCCGTTCTCAACTTCCAACCTGACGCCCACATTAAACATGCTAGTTACAAGTTTTGCAACTGTTGGTTGATCTGTCCAGTCAGGGTAAGCAATTACAGGAACCCCTGCCACCATTGTCTCTAGCGTTGAGTTCCACCCACAATGAGTGATAAAGCAAGCCACAGCTTGGTGCATGAGCACCTTCTCTTGAGGGCACCATGCCACTACTAAACCTCTTCCCTCGGTCTCCTTTTGAAAATCATATGACAATTCACCACCTGTGTTTTCTAAGCATTTTTGAGGAGGTTTAATCACCCACAGAAATGGTCGATTGCTGTTCTTCAATGCCATGGCTATGTTGTCAATTTGTTTTTGCGAAAATGACGCTACACTACCAAAAGAAATGTAAACAACTGAAGAAGGTGGTTTTTTGTCCAACCAATCAATGCAAGAATCTTCAGGAATCCACATATCAACACTGCCATTAATGCTCTCTTCTTGTCCTAATAGAGATGATGAAACCAAGGGACCGATTGGACAAATTGGATGGAGTGAAGCCATGGACTTAATAACTTCCTCCTCAAGTTCGTCAAAAGAATTTGCCAGAACCCATTTTATCTCATCCAAGTTTTGAATGAAACTAGAAACTAGTTTTTGGATTGGGTGAGAACATGAAGGGAGGATAAAAGAGGGAAGGTCCTTTACCTGTAATTTTGGCATCCCAGGCAATTCTATATACTCATGTGGGTCTATCAGAGGTGGAAATGAGTTAGGATTCTTAAAGTAATGGCAGTAAATAGAGTAGACAGTGCAGGCTTGGATCCAAAGTACTGCGCAAGGAATGCCACATTTGGTAGCAATTTTTGGCACCCATGGCATAAACGGGTTGCTAATAATGCAAGAAAATTTCTTGCCATCGTTTGTGAAATCTTGTATTAGATTGGAGAGATTTTTGTATCCTATTGTCTCCAGGGATTCAATATAGCAGTCGAAATATTTCAAGCGATCAAATTCCAGGTCAAGGCCATCAGAGAAGAACTCCAGACTGATTTGTGGGGTTCTGACCGTGGTGTTTTCGGCGGTGGCAAAGGAGGTAGGGGTGTTGGGTTTTTGCGTAGCGAGGTAACGAGTACCCTCAGTAGTGGCTATAGTAACATGAACACCCTTTGATACAAGGCGTTTCGCAAGCTTGAGCATGGGGTTTATATGACCTTGCCATGCCATTGTAACCACTAGAACATGCACTTGATCTTCAACACCCATTGTCTTTCTGGCCTGTGGGAGAAACAAACTTAAATCTCAAACCTTCAAAGAAGATTTTCATATTCTGAATCATTAACTTCTAATTCACTTTTATACCAGTATCTGGAGAAACTTTAATGACAGCAATCTTGCAGACAAAGATGGAAAAATAATACCTTATCACCACACCATAAGTTTTTCCATGGAGACGGAGAATATGACCTTATCACTGTATCTTTTTATGCTCTATAAATGGTAGTAAAATAGGATATTACTTCTTCTATTATGGATATTATATATGGAAAGACAAAATTGAGATATACATTAGAAATATATGGCATTATGTCAATTGATTTCTATTAATTAATTTGTTACCATCGATGTCTGGTTTTATCCTTCTGTTACACAAATATGGAAAAATATGACCTTATCACTACATCTTTTATGCTCTTTAGATGGCAGTAACATAGGATATTACTTCTTCTACTAGAAATATTATATATGATTTTTTCTCGTAAGAAGAAATGTTTCAAAGAAAAAGCTAAAACCATTGTTTTACTGTTAAAACCAAGTTCACATAGTCAAAATCAGTTTATCAAGAAATTTATTGTTTTACTATCAAAATCAAGTTTAATTCCGTCATAATTGCTCAAAACCATCATTTTACAATCAAAACCAAATTTGCCATGTCAAAACTGATGAAAGTAATTTACCCGAGTTAAATCTATTATTTCAGAATACTTTTTAGAGTAAAAAATAATTTTTGATGGTCAAAAAAATATTTTACACTGATTTTACATATATATATGTATAATTTTGAATAAATAATGACGAACCACGTGAATTAAGCAATGTGAGTCCCATTTCATCAGTCTACATTGGGGAAGGAAGTTCGGAAAGTTTGAAGAGTTTGCCAAATCTTCAAAAAAAAAAAAAACAATTTGGTCGTTCATCCTAGAATACCCAATGAATCTTAACCATTGATTTAGAAACTCAAAATGAGTTCACCCATATCCAATCAACCCCAGATAAAGTATAGTTGTGGATTCAATTTTTGGAATCATTTAGATTTGGACCACAGAAAGAATCGTCTCCTCTCCCGGACCAAAACCCAAGGTGTTAACATTGTCGGCGTCGCCGTTAGCAGTAGCAGAAATCAAAAGAACCCAAATCGGCCAAACCAAACTCTCGTTGTCGATCTCCCTCCCTGGTTGGCTATGAAATACAGTGCCACCATTAGTGGATGAATGAAATTGAGAGCTTGTTAGTGGACCGTTTAACGTGTCGACATCTCATCAGAATTGATACCAAGCCACCAACAACGATGGCACATGATATGAATGCACCGAGGGGATAATGCAGTGGTAGAATTGTAATTTCACCATCTAACCAGGAAAAAACAACAATTTCACCTGAAATAGGGCATTCCAATAGTTTATCAAAGCTGAATTTTATTTTATTTTATTTGTGATTAAAAATAATTATATATGCATGTGTTTTTTTGGATATTTAATAGAATAAAGTATTCATGGTATGCAAAACCTATAAGATTCGAGATCCGAGATCATTAGATGATTTTAAAAAGAGAAAAGGATTGTATCATTGTTTCATGGAGGAACTCAAAGAATAAGGTTGTGAATTCATTTACCAGGATTATTCAAAATGAATATTGATCCTAGTGTTGATCAAATTTCTCATAACCTATTTTTAAGTTATTCCTTAAAATTTACCTTTTTCTTATAAAAAAATTAAAGAAAAACAAAGGCTTTAATAATAAGAACACCATCAATTTAGTAAAAGTTGGTTGAGAAAGGTTCCAGATATACATAGAAGAATCAAGTTAGAGTTTCAAAAAAAATATAGAGCCTAATCACACCCTATTGTATCCAAGACTTGAAAGACAATGCAGATTCAATGTCAAATTAAATAATTTTTGAATGGATCTGCATGAAAATTAAGTCCAAAGACATAATTAGATTTTAAAAAGGCCAATTTGATTTAATCATATGCCAAACTAAAGACATAATTAGATTTTAAAAAGACCAATTTGATTTAATCGTAGGCCAAATTAAAATTTTAATTATATTTAAGAATTAATTTATGTCCCATTAAAAGATTCAATTAGGTGTAAGAACTTAATTATACTTTAAATATGTCAAATTAATTTTATTAGAGACTTAATTAGTGAAAAATTAAGTTTGGGAGCCCAATTTAGGTTTAATTGAGAAGATTGGAATTCTAAAGGAAAAAACTTAATTTTTACAAAGTTAATTAATTAAAACCAGGGGTAAAATTGTAAAAAAAATCAAAGGTTTGGGTCAATTAAAGATTAAATTGAAGAAATTTAAAAATTTAATAGTCAATTAAGGGTCAATTTGCAAAATCCAAAACCAATGACCTTTTTGAAAAATGCGCTAAAATTTGGGGCTGATATTGAAATTCAGTAGGGGCAAAATTGCATTAAATTAAAACTTTAGGGTTAATTAGAGGTGTAATTAAAAGAAAGCAAAAGCCAAGGGACTAAATTGAACCATGATCAAATCCCTAAATTAAAATCCTATAAACTAAAACGGCATTGTTTCATTTAAATTAAACAACATGTTTCGACCAAAATGATACTGTTTTAACCAAATAGTACCATAAAAAAATCAGATAACACCTTATCTGGTTACTGTTAATCTTCTTCTTTTTCTTTTTTTGCATGAAAACATGGCTAAAATGACTACTTTTCAAGGACATTTAATGCATCTTCTCCCCACTAAAAAAGGTAAACCATACATCATTATAATGGTCTGACATTTTACCACACCTAGAGCAGGTCTTGCCAACTAACTACCTCTATAGTATTTGCGGTGCCGTCCAAAATGGCCAACTCGACCACCTCTTAATGGCCAATTTTCATCGTCCATGATTACACCATTAAGCGAATGGTTAAGATCTTTTTCAGTTCAATCAAAGGCCAATATATGTCCCTTATAAAGATAAAATATCCATCTTTCACCTCCCAAACAAATAGGGGTGCATTCTAGGCATTGAAAAACAAGAAATAAAAGTCTAAAGTTAGCAAAAAAAAATCAACCCCTCCCCAGTTATTTTATCTACCGTTATCATTCTTTGTTTTTTCCTTTATTGTCATGACATTGATTTCTTTAACCACTATGTAATAGTCCAACCCAACATGTTGTATATTGTCCGCTTTAGCTCAACCCAACCCGGCTTCCACGCCTCATTCAACCCAACATGTTTTATATTATCCGCTTTAGCTCAACCCAACCCGACTTCCACACCTCACGGTTTTGTTTCTAGCAGCACACAGACTCCAAAACGCGTACAACATGTTAGCAACTAGCATTACTAATAAGGTTTTAACTCTGGACATTCGCTTCTAATATGCGATATGACACACCACCACCTCATATATATTATGACCAACAGTGGCCAAACATCCTCCACCAACTCGTCTTCTCTCCGGCGACTGGAAACTTCAACATCAACTTTTTCTTTCAATAGGAACCTCTACAACTTAATTCTTCTGTCAATGCCTCCATGAGGCACTATGTGTTTTTTTTTCTCCAACCAAGCAAGCTTTTTTTTTTCCTTCTTCTTATTCCTGTTATCCCCCCTCTATAGCCATTTCATATATTCCTTCTTCTTATTCCCTTTTTTTCCTTCTTCTTATTCCCCTTATCCCCCCTCTATAGCCATTTCATATATAAAAAAAATCAAAGGTTTGGGTCAATTAAAGATTAAATTGAAGAAATTTAAAAATTTAATAGTCAATTAAGGGTCAATTTGCAAAATCCAAAACCAATGACCTTTTTGAAAAATACGCTAAAATTTAGGGCTGATATTGAAATTCAGTAGGGGCAAAATTGCATTAAATTAAAACTTTAGGGTTAATTAGAGGTGTAATTAAAAGAAAGCAAAAGCCAAGGGACTAAATTGAACCATGATCAAATCCCTAAATTAAAACCCTATAAACTAAAACAGCATTGTTTCATTTAAATTAAACAACATGTTTCGACCAAAATGATATTGTTTTAACCAAATAGTACCATAAAAAAATCAGATAACACCTTATCTGGTTACTGTTAATCTTCTTCTTTTTCTTTTTTTGCATGAAAACATGGCTAAAATGACTACTTTTCAAGGACATTTAATGCATCTTCTCCCCACTAAAAAAGGTAAACCATACATCATTATAATGGTCTGACATTTTACCACACCTAGAGCAGGTCTTGCCAACTAACTACCTCTATAGTATTTGCGGTGCCGTCTAAAATGGCCAACTCGACCAACTCTTAATGGCCAATTTTCATCGTCCATGATTACACCATTAAGCGAATGGTTAAGATCTTTTTCAGTTCAATCAAAGGCCAATATATGTCCCTTATAAAGATAAAATATCCATCTTTCACCTCCCAAGCAAATAGGGGTGCATTCTAGGCATTGAAAAACAAGAAATAAAAGTCTAAAGTTAGCAAAAAAAATCAACCCCTCCCCAGTTATTTTATCTACCGTTATCATTCTTTGTTTTTTCCTTTATTGTCATGACATTGATTTCTTTAACCACTATGTAATAGTTCAACCCAACATGTTTTATATTATCCGCTTTAGCTCAACCCAACCCGACTTCCACACCTCACGGTTTTGTTTCTAGCAGCACACAGACTCCAAAACGCGTACAACATGTTAGCAACTAGCATTACTAATAAGGCTTTAACTCTGGACATTCGCTTCTAATATGCGATATGACACACCACCACCTCATATATATTATGACCAACAGTGGCCAAACATCCTCCACCAACTCGTCTTCTCTCCGGCGACTGGAAACTTCAACATCAACTTTTTCTTTCAATAGGAACCTCTACAACTTAATTCTTCCGCCAATGCCACCATGAGGCAATAGGTGTTTTTTTTTCTCCAACCAAGCAAGCTTTTTTTTTTTCCTTCTTCTTATTCCCTTTTTTTCCTTCTTCTTATTCCCCTTATCCCCCCTCTATAGCCATTTCATATAG